CTACTACTCTTGTACTACTACTTCTTGTACACTACTCTTGTACTATGCTTCTTGTACTTTGCTTCTTGTACTACTACTTCTGTACATACTACTTTTACTACTACTTCTTGTACTACTACTGTCTTGTACTACTTTACTATCTTGTACTACTACTTCTTGTACTACTACTTCTTGTACTACTACTTCTTGTACTACTACTTCTTGTACTACTACTCTACTTCTTGTACTACTACTTCTTGTACTACTACTTTTACTACTACTTCTTGTACTACTACTTCTTGTACTACTACTTCTTGTACTACTGCTTCTTGTACTACTACTTCTTGTACTACTACTTCTTGTACTACTGCTTCTTGTACTTTTGCTTCTTGTACTACTACTTCTTGTACTACTACTTTTACTACTACTTCTTGTACTACTACTTCTTGTACTACTACTTCTTGTACTACTACTTCTTGTACTACTACTTCTTGTACTACTACCTCTTGTACTACTGCTTCTTGTACTACTGCTTCTTGTACTACTGCTTCTTGTACTACTACTTCTTGTACTACTACTACTTGTACTACTACTTCTTGTACTACTGCTTCTTGTACTACTACTTGTACTACTACTTCTTGTACTACTACTTTTACTACTACTTCTTGTACTACTACTTCTTGTACTACTACTTCTTGTACTACTACTTCTTGTACTACTACTTCTTGTACTCTACTACTACTTCTTGTACTACTACTTCTTGTACTACTACTTCTTGTACTACTACTTCTTGTACTACTACTTCTTGTACTACTGCTTCTTGTACTACTGCTTCTTGTACTACTACTTCTTGTACTACTGCTTCTTGTACTACTACTTCTTGTACTACTACTTCTTGTACTACTACTTTTACTACTACTTCTTGTACTACTACTTTTTGTACTACTACTTCTTGTACTACTGCTTCTTTTACTACTATTTCTTAACTACTATCTTGTACTACTACTTCTTGTACTACTACTTCTTGTACTACTACTTCTTGTACTACTACTTTTACTACTACTTCTTGTACTACTACTTCTTGTACTACTACTTCTTGTACTACTGCTTCTTGTACTACTACTTCTTGTACTACTACTTCTTGTACTACTGCTTCTTGTACTACTACTTCTTGTACTACTACTTCTTGTACTACTGCTTCTTGTACTACTACTTCTTGTACTACTACTTCTTGTACTACTGCTTCTTGTACTACTACTTCTTGTACTACTACTCTGTCTACTAGTCTGTACTACTACTTCTTGTACTACTACTTCTTGTACTACTGGCTTCTTGACACTACTTCTTGTACTACTACTATCTTGTTACTACTGCTTCTTGTACTACTACTTCTTGTACTACTACTTTTACTACTACTTCTTGTACTAATACTTCTTGTACTACTACTTCTTATACTACTACTTCTTGTACTACTTCTTCTTGTACTACTGCTTCTTGTACTACTGCTTCTTGTACTACTGCTTCTTAACTACTATCTTGTACTACTACTTCTGTACTACTACTTTTACTACTACTTCTTGTACTACTACTTCTTGTACTACTACTTCTTGTACTTCTGCTTCTTGTACTACTACTTCTTGTACTACTACTTCTTGTACTACTACTTCTTGTACTACTGCTTCTTGTACTACTACTTCTTGTACTACTACTTCTTGTAATACTACTTCTTGTACTACTACTTTTACTACTACTTCTTGTACTACTAACTTCTTGACTACTACTTTTACACTATTCTTGTACTACTACTTCTTGTACTACTACTTCTTGTACTACTACTCCTTGTACTACTACTTTTTGTACTACTGCTTCTTGTACTACTACTTCTTGTACTACTACTCTACTTCTTGTACTACTACTTCTTGTACTACTACTTCTTGTACTACTACTTCTTGTACTACTGCTTCTTGTACTACTACTTCTTGTACTACTACTTCTTGTACTACTACTTTTACTACTACTTCTTGTACTACTACTTCTTGTACTACTACTACTTTTACTACTACTTCTTGTACTACTACTTCTTGTACTACTACTTCTTGTACTACTACTTCTTGTACTACTACTCCTTGTACTACTACTTTTTGTACTACTGCTTCTTGTACACTACTCTTACTACTCTTGTACGTACTATTTTACTACTACTTCTTGTACTACTACTTCTTGTACTACTACTTCTTGTACTACTGCTTCTTGTACTACTACTTCTTGTACTACTACTTTTACTACTACTTCTTGTACTACTACTTCTTGTACTACTACTTTTACTACTACTTCTTGTACTACTACTTCTTGTACTACTACTTCTTGTACTACTACTCCTTGTACTACTACTTTTTGTACTACTGCTTCTTGTACTACTACTTCTTGTACTACTACTCTACTTCTTGTACTACTACTTCTTGTACTACTACTTCTTGTACTACTACTTCTTGTACTACTGCTTCTTGTACTACTACTTCTTGTACTACTACTTCTTGTACTACTACTTTTACTACTACTTCTTGTACTACTACTTCTTGTACTACTACTTTTACTACTACTTCTTGTACTACTACTTCTTGTACTACTACTTCTTGTACTACTACTTCTTGTACTACTACTCCTTGTACTACTACTTTTTGTACTACTGCTTCTTGTACTACTACTTTACTTCTTGTACTACTACTTTTACTACTACTTCTTGTACTACTACTTCTTGTACTACTACTTCTTGTACTACTGCTTCTTGTACTACTACTTCTTGTACTACTACTTTTACTACTACTTCTTGTACTACTACCTCTTGTACTACTGCTTCTTGTACTACTGCTTCTTGTACTACTGCTTCTTGTACTACTACTTCTTGTACTACTGCTTCTTGTACTACTACTTCTTGTACTACTACTTTTACTACTACCTCTTGTACTACTACTTCTTGTACTACTACTTCTTGTACTACTGCTTCTTGTACTACTACTTCTTGTACTACTACTTCTTGTACTCTACTACTACTTCTTGTACTACTACTTGTACTACTACTTCTTGTACTACTACTTCTTGTACTACTACTTCTTGTACTACTACTTCTTGTACTACTGCTTCTTGTACTACTGCTTCTTGTACTACTACTTCTTGTACTACTGCTTCTTGTACTACTACTTCTTGTACTACTACTTCTTGTACTACTACTTCTTGTACTACTACTTTTACTACTACTTCTTGTACTACTACTTTTACTACTACTTCTTGTACTACTACTTCTTGTACTACTACTTCTTGTACTACTGCTTCTTTTACTACTACTTCTTGTACTACTACTTCTTGTACTACTACTTCTTGTACTACTACTTTTACTACTACTTCTTGTACTACTACTTCTTGTACTACTACTTCTTGTACTACTGCTTCTTTTACTACTACTTCTTGTACTACTACTTCTTGTACTACTACTTCTTGTACTACTGCTTCTTTTACTACTACTTCTTGTACTACTACTTCTTGTACTACTACTTCTTGTACTACTACTTCTTGTACTACTGCTTCTTTACTACTACTTCTTGTACTACTACTTCTGTACTACTACTTCTTGTACTACTACTTCTTGTACTACTACTTTTACTACTACTTCTTGTACTACTACTTCTTGTACTACTACTACTTGTACTACTGCTTCATGTACTACTACTATTTCTACTACTCCTATTTCTTGTATTACTACTTTTTGAACTACTTCTGCTATTACTATGCACACTCATACACTACATACATGTATATATCGAAGCATCTATTTTACAAGATGTTTTCATAAATTTGAAAAATGTGCTGGGATGTTTCTGTTATGCTGTTATTTCACTGTGGACTTTTTTGCATTTATAGCCATGGATTGTAAGTGAATTGTTTGTGTGTATCATTGCAGCATATCACATCTTTTCTTCAGACTGAATGAAATCTTCCCAAAGCACAATCATACAGGGTGTAAGCTCTTGTTAATAGTCCCCTTTCTGTCACATACTTTCACACTAGTGTACTGGAAATAACTAAGATTCTATATATGTCATAATGTTAAGCAAAGCTTATGAAAAATAAAAGCTGAATTATTTTGCATGTTTTTTTTTTTTTTATAAAGATTTTTGTCTCATACGGTGCATTGAAAGATATATTTGTGTAAAGTAATGTTGTACGGTAAGCAGATATTTTTTTATTTTTCCTCAAAATTAACTTAGTAGCTTTACCTACCTTTGCCAGAATTAATGCAATGCAATATAGCATAATCCTGTTATGTCTATGTACCATTAGGTCATCCTAAATCTACTTAATATCTAACATCAGTTAGGTACATATATAATTTATGTGATGAACTGATTGATCTTCACTGAGTTTTTGCACACTATAAAAGTAATTTATACTCTGCTTGTTTAGCAAAATTATTCTTTCTGAATATTAATAATTTTTCTTTGATTTTTTTACTTTGTTTTAAATTATTGCTACTTAACATCCATATTGGTTGAAGCCATCTTAAATCTATTTGAGTATTTATGCGTGTTACACTTTTGAATATGTAAGATAGTGAGAAAGTGTAGAGTTTGCAGGAGATATAGGAGGATGTGTAGTTATGTATATGTGCATTATTTTGTAAGGTCAGTGCTTATTTGTTATTACTATATTCATTAGATAAAGGAGAGATATGTAGACATCTGCATTTTCTTTTGAAATCAGTGGTGGCTTTGTTGTTACAGTTTATTTAGTACATTAGACATACAAGAGGGTTGTAGAGATACAGTATATGCATTGGTTTGTTTTTACCATATATACACTATACCAGATATAATTTGTAGATGCTAGTTTGTAAATCATCGTAATGGTAAGATATAGTAGTACTGTATAGGTCAATAGAAGTAGCAGCACAAAACATTGTTTCTTTATGACTATAAAGTAGATTATTATGTGTTTATTTATTTATGATGCACTCACGCCTGCAGCAGCAGCAGCCACAGTCCCCGGTCACGACAGGGGAGGATGTTCAACTCTCTGCTCTCAATGTTAGAGGCACCATGCTCTCAGCAGCATACCGCCCTCATGCTTACACCAAACCCAAAAATCAAGTTTGGGGTAATGTATCTTTCTTTGTTATTTTTTGAACTCTTAATAGCTTGTATTTGTTATATGTACTCAAAATTTATTGTCCAAAATGTCTTGCTATTCTTTGTAAAATGGTGAGTTGTTTTTATCATGTTAGCTGACAACACTGAAGGGTTCTACAGGTCATGCATTATACAGTTGCAATATTCTTTTTCTTTATTACATATTTCTTGGACTTAAGAGAATCATTGCTGGGAAGTGTGTGGACCTCTTCCTATTTCTTTCTTGTTTATGGACTCATTGATCCAACATTGTATTGGTCACTGGTGTAGTAATTGTTTGTATCAGTCATGTTTACATTCATACATCATATGGAAAATATCATCATTTCTCCATGTGTAACAAGACATTGTGGCCATGCCACCCTGTATTGTAAGTGGTTATTAAAAAAAAATATTGAATAAGATTTGTAACAAACTTTATATTTCTTTATTAATTGCATTTAATACTAATAATTTTGAGAAAGGCATAACTGTTGGCTTCCACCATCATTCATCCACTGATAAATTTTGTAGAATGTACAGTACCAGTAATATTTTTATACAAATTAGTATGACACCTTAACATATTGCATAAAATAATTTGTGAGTAGTAGAATGGGTTAAGAGTAACACTGTATATTGTGGAGAGATGGCAGTGTATGATGTGACTGCAAAGAGAATACATAAGAGTGAAGTACAAGATACAAGAGTAACTGGTAGGTATGAAGTGGGGGAGTACATATAAAAATAGTTCCATAACTGGAGTATACCTGGAGAGGGTTTCAGGGGTCAACACCCCTGCGGCTCAGTCTGAGACCAGGGCTCGTGGTGGGTTAGGGTCTGATCAACCAGGCTGTTACTACTGGCCACATGCAAACTGACGTACGACCCACAGCCCGGCTGGTCAGGTACTAACTTTAGGGGCCTGTCCAGTACCTTCTTGAAGACAGCTGGGGGTCTATTGGTAATCCCCCTTATGTATGCTGGGAGGCAGTTAAACAGTCTTGGGCCCCCAGACACTTATTGTGTTGTCTCTCAGTGTACTCGTGGCACCCTGCTTTTCACTGGGGAAATGTTGCATCTCCTGCTGAGTCTTTTGCTTTCATAGGGAATGATTTTCATGTGTAAGATTGTAAGATGTGTAGGATTTTCCAAGTGTATGTATATTATCATGTATCTCTCACACCTGCATTCCAGGGAATACAAATCAAGAAACTTCAACCGTTCCCAGTAATTTAGGTGCCTTATCATACTTATGTGTGCCGTGAAAGTTCTTTGTACGCTCTCCAGGTCAGCAATTTCACCTGCCTTGAAGGGGGCAGTTAGTGTACAGCAGTATTCCAGCCTAGAGAGAACAAGCGATTTGAAGAGAATCATCATGGGTTTGGTGTCCCTAGTTTTGAAGGTTTTCATTATCCATTCTATCATCTTTCCTAGCAGATGCTGTAGATGCATGTTGTGGTCTTTGAAGGTGAGAGCCTCTTACATTATCGCTCCCAGGTCCTTTACATTACTTTTTTGCCCTATTGTATGGTTAGAATTTATTGTATACCCTGATACAGTTTTAATTTCCTTAAGTTTTCCATATCTGAGTAGTTGAAATTTCTCTTCCTTGAACTTCATATTGTTTTGAGTGGCCCATTTGAAGATTTGGTTAATGTCCAATTGGAGTCTTGTGGTGTCTTCGATGGAGGTCACTGTCATGGCAATTCCGGTGTCATCTGCAAAGGAAGACCCAGAGCTATGGTTTACATCTCTGTCTATGTCAGATATGAGGATGAGGAATAGAATGGGAGAGAGTACAGTGCCTTGTGGAACAGAGCTTTTCACCGTAGCTGCCTCAGACTTTACTCTCTTTACTATTACTCTTTGTGTTTGGTTTGTCATGAAGTTATAGATCAATCTACCAACTTTTCCTGTTATTCCTTTATCATGCATTTTGTGCGCTATTACACCATGGTCACACGTGTTGAAAGATTTTGCAAAATCTGTGTATACTACATCTGCATTTTGTTTATCCTCTACAGCATCTAGGAATACCCAGCATAGAACATGATAGATGGCTTTGTTGGGTAGTGCCTTGATGCTGGTGAAAGGCTCTTGATCTGAGGAATTGAAGGTACTCACCCTTTCTTCAGATCAAACTGGATTACCTGCCAGTTCTCAGATGCTGTATGGCTCCTGGGCTTAGCAAATGCCCAGATTAAAACAACTGTTTGGAGGAATCCTCAAGGAAAAAACAACCAAAAGAGATATTGTAGATGGAAGTACAAAGTGCAGATAGTCATGTAGAATATATAAATAGAAATGGCTAATTAATCAAATCTAGTATTTACAAAAATAGTGAATAAACATGTGATGATGTATACATCTTTCATACCATAACTACATGAATATATAATGACAACCTCAGAGGCAAGGTACATAGAGCTGCATTAAACATCTTTAATAGGAATAGTAAAAAAGAAGACTACAGGAATTATTCTGATATCTAATTTTTTTGCTATTGAACAGCAACTACTGCAACTAAAGGTTCTTTTTTTCTTAATTAAATGCCATAACTGTTGTTCAGGGCTGTACAAGATAGCAAATGTGACTTATTAAGTGAGTTGCCATCCTTCTGAGAGAAACTGTCTGCATCTCCACAGATTTAACAGTTTTGTAATCAGTCTCCCAATGCTGTCACCAGTAAATTACACATGTTTATGCTATCTCTTCCTTATACTGAATATATTAGCCTCTAGTTTTAATGTAGTGTGATTGTGGATTTGAAATAACCAACTACAAATCTTGGACACCCTTGTCATCAAAAATGACCTCTAACTGAAATTCACTGTGCATCATAAACCTACATAATCAGCCAACTATATACATTTCTTCAGTTACCATTCTTTTCAAGTAAAAAGAAGTACTGTCTCCAGGTTTTTTTTCAGGGATCATGAGAATCTGCAGCCCAAACATATTTGAACAAGAGAAAGAAATAAAGGAACAATTTTCTAAACTAGAATATCCTGACTGGTTCATTCAATCAAGCCTTAGCAGTTCTTACAAAAACTACAGTAGTATTTCAGATCTGCAGATCCAGCTTCCCCAAAAAAGAACATTCCACAAATAAATTAGCTATCCCTTCTAATCAAAGCATAGTGGATAAATGTAAAAATGTCTCAAATGCAGCATTTTTGTACTCTTACAAAACTGGAAACAGTTTATCTAGGAACCACAACTAATCCCCTGCAAAAACTGTGATGTGATGTACATGAGGCAGATGGACTGTGACTTGGAATCTCTCCTAACAGAGCATAAGCAGCCTATTAGATATGGCCATGGAAGATGAGACCTGTTTCAGCATGTAAAAATTTCAACTCAGTATTAACTGGGAAGGAGCCAATATAACATATAAAACAGAGTGCACCTGTAAGTGTCATGTCTGAGGGAAATGTGTGGTGTGAATATAATGCAGAGAATTCATAGTTTGGAAGTTAGGAAGAGGTGCGGGATTGCCAAAACTGTTGTCCAGAGGGCTGAGGAAGGGTTGTTGAGGTGGCTCGGACATGTAGAGAGAATGGAACGAAACAGAATGACTTCGAGAGTGTATAAATCTGTAGTGGAGGGAAGGCGGGGTAGGGGTCGGCCTAGGATAGGTTGGAGGCAGGGGGTAAAGGAGGTTTTGTGTGCGAGGGGCTTGGACTTCCAGCAAGCATGCGTGAGTGTACTTGATAGGAGTGAGTGGAGAAAAGTGGTTTTTAATACTTGACGTGCTGTTGGAGTGTGAGCAAAGTAACGTTTATGAAGGGATTCAAGGAAACTGGCAGGCCGGACTTGAGTCCTGGAGATGGGAAGTACAGTCTGCACTCTGAAGGAGGGGTGTTAATGTTGCAGTTCTATGATCTGTAGTGTAAAGCACCCTCTGGCAAGACTGATGGAGTGAATGAAAATGAAAGTTTTTCTTTTTTGGGCCACCCTGCCTTGGGAATCGGCTGATGTGTTAATAAAAGAAAAATAACATAGATAAATGCCCAATAAAGCAGCCTGATGGATTACCAGCCATAAGAAAATTAGAAAATTAGAATCAACACTCAGAATAACAGTACCTAACTTTAATATTTTAAAAGAACAGTTAAAACCAAATGTATGGTAATTTTGAAATTTGTTTTAAAGAAGCCTATACATACTGACACCAAGCCTAATACTGAATACTACTACTAATACTACTACTAATACTACTACTAATACTACTACTACTACTACTACTACTACTACTACTACTACTACTACTACTACTACTACTACTACTACACTACATACTACTACTACTACTACTACTAATCTACTACTACAAGTACTACTACTAAATACCACACACCACCACTGCACTGCCACCTGCTATTTCTACTACTACCTACTATTATTACTACCACTATTATTACCTACTACTACTACCTACTACTATTACTAACTACTACTTTTACTACCTACTACTATTACTGCCTACTACTATGACTACCTACTGCTGTTACTGCCTATTGAGGTCTGATCACTGGGCTGCAGGGGCATTGAGCCCCAGATCTCTCTCCAGGTATACTGCTACTGCCTACTACTGTTACTACCACTGGCTACTATTACTAGCTATATACTTATATCTACTACATTCAGCTACTACTACTATTACTACTACTGTTACTGCCTACTACTATTACTGCCTACTACTGTTACTGCCTACTACTGTTACTACCTACAACTACCATCACCACTCTGATGCTGTTGGCACTGCTGCTGCTCCTGTAGTACTAAGTCCTCTCTGACATTCATGTCATTAATGCAGACTCTGTCTCTGCATACATCACATTCTCCCCTCTATCTTTTTTGTCTCGCCAGCATCCTCTCCTCAGTGCTTCTGCCGCTGACTCTGTTATTTTTTTTTCACTTTGCAACAAGGCATTGTATAACTTTTACCAGTTTGGAACTTTTCCTTGAACACTTGTAACAAAATGACCCACTGAATGGCAACATCCCCACTCATCCACTTTAGTTTGGTCATTCAGCACATGGAGCAGTGGGGGCTCAGTCCTCCAGCCAAGTCAGACATGTTAGTAAACATTGCCAGATTTTGCAAATGGGAACACTGTGGTTTCATTGCATTGTTAGTTAGAAGTAAACAAAAATCACTCAATGCAAGCTGTGCAGTGTGTGAAAAAGAGGATATGAAACTTAGCCTTCCTCTTTCTAATAATAATAATAATAATAATAATAAAAATGATGCATAATGATGATTTTCTCATGATGCCTAACATACTGTCTGGAATGATTACCAGATGAAGAAATAGTATAATGATATCTTGAGGCTTAGATTTGATGTGTTATGACTTAAAGCTGAAGTGTTCTTTCAACTGGCTATGCTATTATTCAGGTGTATATTTTAATTTTAATAATTTTAGAACCACTTTTAATTGAGGTATATATAGTATATATAGTCTGGAAATCAAGGTTTCTGTGCCTTATGTTTCTTAGCCTCAGGGATGCTACCAGTTGAGCCCTTCTTGTCATGGGTAGTACAACGTGTTGACAATGGTGCGCGTTCTCTAGGCCAACATGGAAATCTGCCTGTCAAGAATGCTTTTGTTAGTGCAGAAAATAAAAACTTGTGTATGAGATGGACTAAGCATTTTAGAAGGTTAGAAGCTTTTGCTTCCTAATGCGTCATAGTGGCTGCGTTGTAATATAGCTGAGTATAGCGGAGCTGTTGCATGATACGTCATAGTGGCTACATTGTAATCTAATAAGGAATATTAGAACTGTTGCATGCTTTTCATGTGGTACCATACATACCTGCATGTATCTAGTCAAGTACGTATAGTGGAACAGTTGCATGATATGTTTTAGTGGCTGTGTTGTAATGTAGTAGAGGATAGTAGAGCTGTTTTATGCTTTTCTGCTCTACTACACATATATGCATTCATTTTGTTTTACTAGTTTACAATTTATATTAAAAGAAAGAAAACATATACAAACTCTCTTCATGAAATATATTCTTATTCTAGATGTGTGTATCACCATTCTTGCCCCCATCAATTGTTAGTATACGTATTTATGCTTCCTTAACAACCTGTTTCAAGAAGAATGTAAGTCACAAAACCATGGCTGGAATGATTCGCAACTAACTCAGTTTGAAGTAGAAACTTTAGTCATTTCAGTCTGCCCTGAACCAATGTCAAGTTGCAACATGATGATGGTCCAGGAGAAACTGAAACATCATTCAGAATTTTCTCTCAAGACATATAGTAAAAGAAAAAGTTTATTAGTACAACACTTCACCCAAGTAAGGCCTCATGTGCGAAACATACTTCATATGAATGTCGTTTTTGCTGTGTCTTTTTAACTAGTACTTGCGGGCTACGTCATACCTGTCATTTCTTTTGCAAATTGCAGGTTAGTTGTGACTCCATTTTATCTTTCTGACATAATTATACCAATATTATTTTATCCCTCATATCTTATCTCTCTCATCTGGCAAAATATACTTTAATATACTAATCATTCCCCTGTTTAATTTTGACTGAAGATAAAGATTCTCTTCATAGAAACACTCAATATAACTTTTTAAGTTTTCCAATTTTTATCTTTTATTACAAAAAAATATATGTGATATGTACAAAAAAAAGGTCAAATGTGCTATATTATATAGTACAAAATACATTTTTCAAAAAGAAATTTGTGGCTTGAATGAGTTATAGCATGTTAAAGTTATAGATTGGAAGTAGTGTAGTGGTTGTGGGTTTACTTATATGTAGCTTCTGGAGTATAATGAAGCTTGTAGTATCCCCTCTTCAGTATTTAATCTAGTGTAAAGTTTTCTTTTAGATTTTTAGTCATTGTGGCACTCACTACCTCCTAAAAACTATTCCATTGTTATTCCACTCCATTCGCAAAGACAGACTTTCTAGTAAGCTTTTGGCAGCTCCTCCTTTTCTTCCTTATCTTATGGTAATGACCCCCTAGTGTGTCAGCTAATGGAGTTACAGTAGGTGCAGTGGTATGTTGAGTAATAACTATTAACAGGAAGCTTCAATCATAACCATACATATAAGTACACAATTTGATTTTTCATTTAAGTAATTGTATTAGGAAATGTCCACTTTGTACCTTAAGTAAATTATTACTGTTGTTCCATATATGAAAACATTTTGGAGTTTTTCATTTAAGTGTAATCTCCATAAAATTACTAAACACGGGAAAAGGGGTGCTATTTAGTAAATTCTGTTTAAGTTGAATCTTGTATATAAAAAGATAAATGTCTGCTTGATTGACTACCAGAGATTTCTGAAGAGAAGTTGCAGAGGTTGGTGGATGAATTTGGTAGGATATGTAAAAGAAGAAAATTAAAAGTGAATATAGGAAAGAGTAAGGTTATGAGGATAAAAAGATTAGGTGATGAAAGATTGGATATCAAATTGGTGGGAGAGAGTATGGAGGAGGTGAATGTATTCAGATATTTGGGAGTAGACGTGTCACCAGATGGGTTTATGAAAGATGAGGTGAATCATAGAATTGGTGAGGGGAAAAGGGTGAGCGCTGCACTTAGGAGTCTGTGGAGACAAAGAACTTTGTCCTTGGAAGCAGAGAGGGGAATGTATGAGAGTATAGTTTTACCAACACTCTTATATGGGTGTGAAGCATGGGTGATGAATGTTGCAGCGAGAAGAAGACTGGAGGCAGTGGAGATGTCATGTCTGAGGGCAATGTGTGGTGTGAATATAATGCAGAGAATTCATAGTTTGGAAGTTAGGAAGAGGTGCGGGATTGCCAAAACTGTTGTCCAGAGGGCTGAGGAAGGGTTGTTGAGGTGGTTCGGACATGTAGAGAGAATGGAACGAAACAGAATGACTTCGAGAGTGTATAAATCTGTGGTGGAGGGAAGGCGGGGTACGGGTCGGGCTAGGAAAGGTTGGAGGCAGGGGGTAAAGGAGGTTTTGTGTGCGAGGGGCTTGGACTTCCAGCAAGCATGCGTGAGTGTACTTGATAGGAGTGAGTGGAGAAAAGTGGTTTTTAATACTTGACGTGCTGTTGGAGTGTGAGGAAAGTAACGTTTATGAAGGGATTCAAGGAAACCGGCAGGCCGGACTTGAGTCCTGGAGATGGGAAGTACAGTCTGCACTCTGAAGGAGGGGTGTTAATGTTGCAGTTCTATAAACTGTAGTGTAAAGCACCCTCTGGCAAGACTGATGGAGTGAATGAAAATGAAAGTTTTTCTTTTTTGGGCCACCCTGCCATGGGAATCGGCTGATGTGTTAATAAAAGAAAAATAACATAGATAAATGCCCAATAAAGCAGCCTGATGGATTACCAGCCATAAGAATAAACTAGAGTACTATATAACAGTACAGTACAGTACAGTATAACTGTAACTATACCTGAAAAGAGAAAAGTAAAAAGTACAGTACAATACAGCAGAGTACAGTACCTTTTCTGGTAGACAGATGAGCTTATAGATGTTCAGTATTCCTATGTTGTCTACTGATACCCAGAATAACTTATTCTGAGTCAGCTGCAGCAGCTGGTGTGGGAAACCACACCATCTGCTTTGCAGTCAAGGTCACACACTTCTACTTCTTTTAGAGGTCATTTTTAATAATACTGTACAGGGTACTTTAATAAACTAATAGAAAACACTGTATGTATATTCAGGAAAAAATAGAAATTATTTTTTTTAACATACCAGACATCTACCACTGAGGCAGGGTGACCTAAAAAGAGAAACGAAAGTTTTTCTTATTTTGTAGTATTTAGTAATTCATACAGGAGAAGGGGTTCCTAGCCCTATGCTCCCGTCATTTTAGTTGCCTCTTACAACATGTATGGCTTACGGAGGAAGGATTCTTTTCCATTTTCTCATGGAGATAAAAGAAAATAAAAAAGAACAAGAACTATTAAGAAAATAGAAAAAAAAATCAAGATGGGTATGTATACATATATGTGTTCATGTATGTCTAGTGTGACCTAAGCATAAGTACAAGTAGCATGTTTATGAGACAGAAAAGGACACCAGCAATCCTACCATCTTGTAAAACAATTACAGGTTTCCATCTTACACTCATTTGGCTGGAGGTGAAATGATTATTATTATATATGAGCATGCATGTAGACAATGACAAACTGACAAGAACTGATTTACTGGTCCTATTGCCCAGGAACAATGAAAATAAATGCATCCAGGATGAAGCCCAAACCAGGGAAACTTGCGATTAATCAGACTTGATCCACTATATTTATGGTATGACTGAACTGGACAACTGTGTGATATATTGAATTTGGTCCACTGCATTGCTATTTTTATTAGACACCCTATTAAGCTGACATGTTGAGCCTTGGTCTGGTCAGATTTTTTGTCCATTTTATCCAATATCCTCTTTACAGAGGGCCATTTTATGAAGGTTTTACTGTATTTTTCACTATTTTTAAATTTGTTTAAATTTTATGAGTACTGTAACCTATAATCCAAAAAGTTGTTTGATGGTTGAACTAACATCTTGATACAGTGGTACCTTGACCTATAAGTGCCCCAACTTCGAATTTTTCCAATTTTTTGCTTTGAGTTGCAAGCCAAAATCTAAGTTACGAGCGAGCTTCAGATAAGTCGCCACTAATTGGCAGCGTATCTTAAGTCAAATCCAACTCTGTACCCAGAGGAATGTCAGGTACTTTGTCCCATCCCACATGCGCATCCAAGACATAACTGGAAGGATAATACTCCCACATTAATCCCAGATTGTAGTGAGGCACCTCGTCCCTTGTTTGGTTCTCGTATGAATCCAGTGAAGAGGTAACCTCCATATCAACACTCAGAGTTTTTCCAGAAACATTAATTAAGGTGGGTGGAGTACTGATAGTGGTGGGTGGAGTAGTGATGGTAGTGGGTGGAGTAGTTATGGTGGTGGGTGGAGTAGTTATGGTGGTGGGTGGAGTAGTGATGGTGGTGGGTGGAGTACTGATAGTGGTGGGTGGAGTAGTGATGATGGTGGGTGGAGTAGTTATGGTGGTGGGTGGAGTAGTGATGGTAGTGGGTGGAGTAGTTATGGTGGTGGGTGGAGTAGTGATGGTGGTGGGTGGAGTAGTGATGGTGGTGGGTGGAGTACTGATAGCAGTGGGTGGAGTAGTGATGGTAGTGGGTGGAGTAGTGAGGGTGGTGGATGGAGTAGTGATAATGGTGGGTGGAGTAGATATGGTGGAGGGTGGAGAAGTGAGGGTGTTGAATATAGTGGAGATGGTGGTGGGTGCAGTACCAAAGATGGTGGATGGAGTATACAATATTTCTTATTTATAAATACATTTTTCTTATTTAAAAACCTGTAACAAAAAAATTGGGGAGGTTTTTGGGGGGCTGGAACGGATTAACCCTTTGACTGTTTCAGCCGTATATATACGTACATCTTACGAGCCAGTGTTTCGGACATATACAGTGGACCCCTGCATAACGATCACCTCCCAATGCGACCAATTATGTAAGTGTATTTATGTAAGTGCGTTTGTACGTGTATGTTTGGGGGTCTGAAATGGACTAATCTACTTCACAATATTCCTTACGGGAACAAATTCGGTCAGTACTGGCACCTGAACATACTTCTGGAATGAAAAAATATCGTTAACCGGGGGTCCACTGTATACATATACTCAATAATTCTATCAGCTTCAAATCAAGCAGGAGAAAGCTGGTAGGCCCACATGGGAGAGAATGGGTCAGTGTGCACTGTATAAAAAAAATCCTGCAGCACGCAATGCATAATGAGAGAAAAAAAACTCCGACCGTGTTTTTGGATTAAAACGCCGACTTTGAGGTGTGTTTTCCTGTAGTATTTATGGTTGTATGTATTCTCGTTTTCTTGGTATCATTTGATAGAATGGAAAACATATTTACAGAAATAGAGATGATTTTGATTAGTTTAATGATGAAAACGACCTTGAAATTGAGCTCAAAGTAGCAGAAATGTTCGATTTTTACCAATGTTCAAGAGTAAGCAAATCACACCACACGTCCAATACGCGTCAACTGAGGAGTCTAATATTCTTTCACTAGTGCACTGATATTATTTATACCATTTTTACAATAAGCAGTAGTCTGCATAACAGTAAATCTTCTATTTTTTGTGTGAGTAAAAAATCAAAATAGCTAGCAAGAATAATATAAGAGGGGCCTGGAGACGTGACTAATCAAGAGAGGATATGTTATTTTAGTGCCAAGAATGTCTTCATTGTTTATTCTGGACCCTATTTTGAAATTGGCATCTTTTTTAA